TGTATATGTGTGTGTGTGTGTGTGTGTGTGTATAATTAGTATTCATGGTTTAGAATTTCATATTTGAGGAGAATAGGAGGCGAAGTGTGCGAACTAGAGGAGGACGATTGACTTGAGCAAACTTTTAGAGGGATAGTTTGGGTTTATATTATAATTTAATTAATGATTTTTATTAGCAAAATAAAGTTAATTAGGATTTCATAAAGTAAAATGATGGAAATTAATATTTAATTAATGTAAAATTAAATAATATGAATAAATTAAATTTTAGTAATATAAATACCATGTTTATTATAGGCTTCAATTTTAGAAAAATCAAGATCAAGGCGAATCCAAAAACAAATAAATCGTCATCGAGGTGAGTTCTCATGTTCTTATACTCTAATAATATTTTACTTATTCCGGACCAAATACATATATTGGTACTGTCACTAGTTAATTTAAATTAGTGCAAAATTATGATTTTATATTCCATTGAATTTTTATTCATATTGTAAAAATGATATATGTACTAAACATTGTTTTAATTATCATATATATTGAATGCTATATAAGTATATTGATTGCTACGCAAATTAAAATTAAATAATTTTTTTGTAAATAATTATTTTCATAGAATGCTTGTATGTGTATGTTTGGTTATGATGAAGTCACCCTTTTATTATACTAGCAGGAGAACGCTAAGGTACCCGTGCACATGAATGGAAAAAGATATTGATATTAAAGTATCTTAATTGATACAATTTTTAGGCGGTGCTTCTGTGACGGGTACAAATATAGATATGTTATTGATATAGTAAAACTCATTGAATAACATAAAATATGGTAAGATATCATATTCTTAAAATATCAAATATTTTATACTGATTTATTAAGAACTTAACTGACATGCATATTATTTTTTTCCTTGTATTACTTTAGTTTAGGAGTGTGAACATTCACTGATTTGGTTAGTGCGCAGTTGTTTTAAACTAACTTTTTATGTGTAATTATTATTTTTTTAAATATGAGCAATAGAAGAGAGTTTATAGAAGACAAATAATCTGTAATGAGGTAAATTTAATTCTACTGATTTAAATTAATTTTTTAGTTGTTTTTTCATTCGTTAAACGTTAAATGAATATAGAAAATATAATTTCCACCATCCGACTGTTTGCACTCGCTTTGTTTATTCCAAACCTCGGGCCGGGTCGTGCCAATAGTGATATCAGAGACAAGGTTTATCATTAATTAATATAACCTTGATGGAAAAGCCTATAGGGTAATTATAAGAAAATTATAATAATAATAAAAACAAAAAATTTAAGTTAACTCAAATTAATAATTGTATTCATTTAGGCATAGAGATACACTTCAAATTATAGAAGGGCATCCTTTAAAAAATGGGGTTTTAACATATATAGGTCTCCAAACATTACTATTTATAGGTTGAGGTTTCAAAACTTATAAATTACAGGGGCCGGTTTCCATTACAAATATCATGAGAGAAACGTTAATAGCCAAGCCTCCTCAACCCCGACGAAGTTCCTCTTGCCCAAAATCTATCGCGATGCGCCGCGAAACTTTCTTGCTTTATCTTCTCCATCTTCACCTCCACTTTCTTATCCCTCCCACCCTCCGACCTCTTAAACACTCCTATTTTCTTCAAGCTCAACGGACAAAACGCTTCCGGCTACGCCACCTTGAACTCAAACCCTCTCCTTCCCTTTCATCCTCTCCGCCCTCCTCGACATCAAGTACGGTCTGTTGTGTCCCCACTTGCTCCCATTAAACATCAATACAAACTCTCTAACAAAGTTTTTGAGCCTACTCCAATTGCCGACGAAGTTTGTCGTCTGAGCTCCAACAATGTTTCTAAGAGCAAAGGATTCCTTGACAATGATGACATCAATTCAAGATAAATTATGTCGAATTTGTACAGAGCGGTGAGGCGAAGGAGGTTGGAATGATTTTGGGCGAGAGGAATTTCACCGGGGTTGAGGAGGTTCAAATATTAATGATTCTCTATATGATATTTGTAACAGAGACCGTCTCCCATAATTTTTAAGTATTGAAAACTCTACCGGTAAATTGTAATGTTTGGGGACTTCCATAAGTAAAAACCCCTTAAAAAATTTATGGATAGTTCATGTCGACGTGCTTAAGGTGAGATTACTTGCGGTCTGTTTATAAATTTTGAAGATGGAATTTTTATAAGTGGGAAAAATTGTGACATCTCGTTTCAAATACCCAAGTGAACCGAGCAAGCAGAGAGGAAGCGAAGACTCGGGAAATTGAAGAGGGAGAGTTGAAACGAGGGTCAGGAACACAAGGTTTGAACTCACTCTATAAATTGTTGAGTGGGGAGACAAAGGCGAGATCGTGAGGATGACTTACGAAGGGAATCAATTGATGTGAGACGAAAGCAGGAGGATGGTGATGTCTCTGTCGAGTAGAGAGGTGGTGATAAGCAAAGGAAGAGGAGTCAAATTCAGCGTTGTGCAGAAGAAGAGGAAACATGAGGAAGAAGCCGAACGAGGGAACTTATTGCGGTGTGAAGCCTACCCTTTCGACCGAACCCTAGTGTGTGGGTCGGGCGTTTTTTGTGTGCAAAGAAGTAGCAACATTGCTTGTAGAGGAGGGGAGGATGTCTGGTTCGAGTGGATTAAGCTTTGACTGAAATATTTGTAATAATAAACATTTAAAAAAAATTCAATTTTAAAAAAAAATCCATTAAAAAAATCGAAGCTTCGCTGGTAATGACACTGTGCAGGTATCGTTCAAGCGAAAAATCCACCGCTCATGAGTTAAGAATGATGGGGAAGTTTGTCTTCTTTCATTCGAACCCATCACGAGAGAGTGCTTATCGGGCACCAACCCCTGCTTTTGGTGTCATCAGCCCAGACACATGGCGAGCTCATGCTCTACCTTAGGCCAGAGACCTCAGGTTGATACTAAAGTTAGTGCTCCACCTACTCAAAGGACTTTCGAAGACAGACAGAGGATGGTAGAGTTGTTACGATCGGCTCCAACTCCGAGTTAGACTCGCAAAGGTGTGCAACCATGAGTATATGCACCAACTCGGTAGGAATCAAATGATTCACTTCACGTCATTACAGGTTTTTGTTTCTCAGCATAATTTGTTATTTAACTGTCATTTTTAGAAAAAGGTTTGATAGATTGATTTGATTGATAGGAGATGATTAGTTTATAAGAAGAGAAGCACTGTTGTGATGATCATTATCTGTCTATTTGTTGCTATATTTTACTTTTTTATTATTTTATTTGTTTTATATAATTTGATGATCATACATATTTGTTAGAAGATTGCTTATATGTGTATTAGGGATTATTGACTTTTTTATATATTATTATTGTTGACTAATATTAATCTTTAGAAATATTTTTCATCATCTGGTTGTCCATAACGTCTTAGTTAATTCTAAGTTCTTGGGTTAGGTTATGACAATTAAAGTTATAAAGAAATTACTAAGTAGACTAGTTTATCTGGTGCGCTCTGTTAAGTACGAGAAGTGTGACAAGCAGGCTCCATATTTAATTCCTCGAGACATGAGTCGTGAGAATGCATGTCCTTGTACAATTTCAACTCTCGTTGTGCCAAAAAAAGGTTATCTACTTTGGGATGACTTATATATGAAATGGATAGGAGCATAAAGTTTGCAGTGAAATTGTCTTTGATACAACAAGACGATATTCTATCAGGATAGACTTTGGGATGATTTATATATGAAATGGATATGAGCATAAATTTTGCAGTGAAATTGTCTTTGATACAACAAGACGATAGATTTGTTATGGTGGTGGTAGATTAATTCTAGAAGCCTTTAGAAACGAAGAAAAAGCTTATCTTCACTCGAGAAAATGATACTGAGCGTCATTCCGCGTTCCACATTTCGCAAGATCGCGAGATCTAGCTATTGCATCTGGGATCCCATCCTATCATCTACTTCAGCCCAATATTCCTTTCTCTATGATTATTTTCCTTTTTTTTATTTCCAATTAGGGTATTTCCTTTTAGATGACTATATGTGTATGTGTTTTTTCTGTTTCGACAACTTTTGCAACTTTTGCTATCGTTATTGTGTTTTGGAGGCTTTCTTCTTTTTTATGCTCTCTGGAGGGATGTATCATCTTTCTTTTGCAAGTGATGTATCTGTTTCTTGCTTAGGAACAGGTTGTGAATTCTCCCCGTCGTCTGTGTTTTGCCATTTCACCGTTCAATCGCTATTTTTAATCAGGGCAGCCACTGAAAGCTCCAAATGTGCTGTCCAAGAACAGATTTTGCCTCCTATCTCCTTCCAAACACCCCCGATTGCACCTATCCTCCTCATACCTTTCCAGAATGACCTTCCCTCAAAACCGGCTTACCAAGCACCTTCTAGGAGCCTTAGAACTGTATTATATAGTTTTGGTTGAAATCGAACCACATAAATCTTAGGTTTTCTCTATATTATGTTTCCTTTCTATTCAACATTGATTGGTGAAACATGGCTCTCATATCTGATGTTCATAGCATTAGGGTTATTTGATACCATCCTTACCCCACTTTTGAATAGCATAACCAAATTATTTAATTAGATATGACAAGACATTTTCTGAATGTTAAACAAAATGGAGAGTTAAAAGAATATTCAAACACCATACATAAAGTTAAGCCAATCTCTCTCTGTATCTCTCCAAAATCATATATTTAGGGCCGCTCTCTCACTGAAAGTCCACAGCAACATTCTTCTTCACCTTAGTTGCCTTTTGATTTGTCGAAATACTTTTGTAAACATTATAATTCTATGATTTTTTCGTCTAAAATAATAAAAAAAAATTGCACGAGGAAATCTACTTTTCTCAGCCTTTTCTGTAAAGAACTGAATTGGCTTTGGATTTGTCGAAATGTATGTTATAATCTGCTTTTGACTGAGATAAAGCTCCCGAAACTATTATTACAACCAGATAAAATTTCTTCATTGCTTTTCTTACCATCGATTGACTACCAAATTTTGTAGTTGTTGGAAGAATTACATGCAAAAGAAAAGCGAGAAACAGAGATGCAGGAAGAACTGGAAGGGCTTCGAGACTCTTTACAGTCGGAAAAGGAAAACTTACAAGAAATCATCAGTGAGCGGGATAAACTTAAAACTTTATATGATGAGAAGGAGTCTGATTTGCAGGTATTTTTCCAATATTAGTTTGGTAAATATTTGATAAATTAACAGTATCAGTTTTATAATAATTGCTACAAGATTATATTTTTATTCCATATTTTAATTATATATAAATGTAACAGACTGCATTAACTGATAAACAAAGCATTGAAGCTAAGCTAGCAAAGCTGAGCTCACCAGGACATCAATCTTTAGGAAATCATGCTAGGAGGCAAACCATGCCTGGATTTGGAAGTGGAGATGGAGGCGCTGATTATGTTAGAAATGGTATTGATGACTGTCAGGTGTGTCATTCCAATTCTTATTTTCTGTTTCTTTTGGGGATCTGTGGCCGCATGGTTTCGGGCTCTTTACTTAGTTTTGCTATCTTTTGAAAGTTAGTCTTAACATCAAAATGCAGCATGCTTTTTTTTCCATGGAATTTAATGTGTCACTAGTAATTAAAATATGCTAAGTTCTTCTTCCGAAGAGAATAAAAATTCTGTAATCAACTTATTTATGTGGCCCCTATGGTCTCCTGAATCAGACAATAAGCAAAGTTCAACAAGATTTGAAGATGCGCACCAAGGAGTTGCAAGCATCTAAAGATACTAATAAGACTCTGCTGAAGGAGAAATATTTGCTTGAGCAGAGGATGCAAAGGATTGAAAAGAAGAAAAATGATGAGGTCATTCCTTTTTTTTTAATTTCACTAAGGAGTTTTATTACTTTTTAGAGTATATATAAGATTTCCAATTGTTTCATATTTAACATACAGATTACTATGGCTACAAAGCATTTTGAAGTTGAGCGCCAGAATTTACAATTATGCATTGTAGAATTGGAACAGAAATTGGAAAGTGCAATGAGATCCTTGAGTGTTGCCGAATCTACTCTTGCAATCAGAGATACTGAACTAGATACTTTACGTGATGACTTAAAGGAGTTAGAAGAATTGCGAGAAATGAGGGAGGTGAGAAAAATTGGCATTCTCTTTCTAAGTTAGCATGTATATTCAAATTTGGGTTTTGTTTGGCTGTGATGTGAGTCATGTGACCGGAAATGCTTTTATGCTTCAGCGGTGCTTGTACATGTTTGGGCACGTAAGTGTAAACCGCTTTCATTGTCTTGTACAATGTGGGCCTAAAAACATGTGAAAGTTAAATGTTTTAAGGCTAAGCGCTTGTGCTGCTATGATTTTCAGTTTGCTTTTTGTTTTTGTTAGTTCCCTCCAAAAAAATGAAAAGCATTTTATTTTTGCAAACACCTAAAACAGGTTACTTTTGATTGATGCTTGTAGGTTATCTGTAATTTTCTTTCAGGATATTGATAGGAAAAATGAGCAAACAGCTGCATTATTGAAAAAGCAAGGCGCACAGCTTGCTGAGCTTGATGCACTTTACAAAGAAGAGCAAGTTTTACGGAAAAAATATTATAATATTATTGAAGGTTTAGTTATCGCTATTTATGTTTTGAATCTTTTTTTCATAGAATATGACATTTATTAGTGTACTATAGCTTGTAATTATGAGCAATTGCATAAAACAGATATGAAAGGCAAGATAAGGGTTTTTTGCCGTTTACGTCCGTTAAATGATAAGGAAGTTGCTGATAAGGAAAAGAACGTGGTAGTCCCAATAGATGAGTTTACTGTTGGGCATCCCTGGAAGGATGAGAAATTAAAACAGCATATATATGATCGTGTTTTTGGTCCAAATGCTTCACAAGAAGATATTTTTGCTGATACCAAGGTACTTAATTCTCAAAACAAAGTTGTTATGTTTGAGTTTCTCCGATATGCTCTAGCTGTGATGCATCCTTGATTGCATTGATTTTTTCCAAAAAAAAAAAAAACCAAAGAATAGTCTCTCATCTAAAAAAATCTTTCTGGGGTTCTGGGGTGTTATGCAGTATCTAATACAATCTGCTGTTGATGGTTATAATGTATGCATATTCGCCTATGGACAAACTGGTTCTGGTAAGACTTTTACGATATATGGTTCAGAAAAGCATTCTGGAATTACCCCAAGGGCCATAGTTGAGCTATTCAAAATAACCGATCGTGATGGCAGCAAGTTCTCATTTTCTTTGAAGGTATTGAATAATTATGTTTTATTTACTACTTTTGATGTAGCAAGATTTTGACCAGAGCATGTTATTTGATTTTAAAGCACTTACAAGGGTTGTTTTTGGTTTAAATGTTTAGCTTGATAATCAAAATTTTTGGTTATGCTTGAGATTTTCACTCTCTTTGGATTCTATTTTGAATTGAACTTCACAAATGTAGGACCGTTAAGAATTAGATGGCATGAATATCAGCTTCTTTCCTAAAATATTTTAAGGGAGGGAACTGTTACTTGAAAATATGTGCAAAAATATGCGATCGAGAAACAAATAAAATGATAAATATAGGTCTCACTCTATAAAGATTGCAATCACTAAGTACCGAAACTAAAATGAAACTATTTGAAAGATTGAAATGGGTATGCATAAAAATTTTGAAGATTAATTAAAATCTGGAGCTTCTAGTTTAAGAAAGTAACAACACAGAAGGTTGAAATCATGTGGTTGAAAGTCGTAGGGATTATATTTAACTAGGATACTTAATGTTGGTCTATTTGGAAATCAGATCATTTGATACTAATAGAATTGGTATATTTAATGTTTCTCTCTCACTCTCTCTCGCTGGGTGCGAATGAAAGGGAGAGGAACTCCCCCTCGTTCTTAACTCAGCGGTGGAGTTTTTGCTCGAACGACTCCAGCACCATCTGTTGTGCAAATGTCGTAAACGGTTAAATTTTTTTTTTATATAATTAAGTTAATTATTTATTTATGATACTATTATTATTATTATTATTATTATTATTATTATTATTATTATTATTACAGAACCAAGGTGGTCAATGCATCATTAGAAGGATGTATAAATTTAAGATTGAAGAATTAGCAAGAAAAATAGCAACAAACAAAAAATAATATGGATAGGAGCTTTTCTGAAAATACTAGCAAATAATAGTTTGAACACATTTCATAAAACTCAATTTGAATGAATGGAATAATAGGATTCATAAATTCCATCGCAGATCATTAGAATAAGTCTAAAGATGATGCTATTGCTACTGATGATCCTTTATGAAATGAAATCCTTTATTCTAGCCTCAAACTATTTTGATTGTTTAAGTATTACCATGAAATGAATTTAATGTGACTCTTACATGTTCAAGCAATTTTTAATATGAACAGATTAATGCTTGACATTAGTAACGCCAACTTTGAGTGACTATTGCTTGGCAACCAATGTGGCAAAAGTAAATGGTTAATCGTGCAAGGTTTCTGTTAAATATCAAATAAGACGCAACGTAAATGATTTTGTGCATTAATGCACAAAATTTCAGGCAGATTACCATATTTTATTTTAGATATCTTACATCTGATTGTTGATTCAACTTTGCATTCATCCAAACTTATAGGTACATATCATTTGGTGTGATCAATTTTCTGTTAATTATTGTCCCAATTAAAATCTACTGGTGCCATAATTAGACAGTTTTGAAACTAAATTAATATGGATTTTAGACATGAACATTTTTTTCTTTGCCTTAATTTTAACATTACGGAGCGCCTACGTGTGATTTTGCAGGTTTACATTGTAGAGCTATATCAAGATACTCTTGTGGATCTCTTACTATCAAAGAATGCTAAACGTTCCAAATTAGAAATAAAAAAAGACTCGAAGGTAATTTATTTAATGATTTTTTTTTTATTTCTCTACTCCGAATTGCTGCATCATGATTTGTTGTACACAAACAAGAGACAAGTTTAGAGTGGTAGCTTGAAATATATTATAAATTATATTTAGATTTTGTTTTAATAGTTCATTAAATTATAAGTTGGAAAAGCATACAAATCCTTTACATTTTTATTTTTTTGTGTCAGATTTATTGACCTGTACATTTTTATTTTTTGTGTTAGCTTTATTGACCTGTATTCTTGCTAGCGATTCATACTTGTAACAGTAAGTTTGGTCTTATCCACGGTTGCTCCGTTCAACTTCTCTAATTTACTTAATCATGCTTTCACTTTTCATCATCCTATGCACGAGACCATGATTTTACAATCCTTTGAATTTTTGCATGATAGCTTTCTTGTGTTTATTTTAGGTAATTAAATGAAATTCAAATGAGATCTTTAATGATATGCATCCTTTTTTAAGGATGGCTTTGGTGGTTTGTTTACTGATCACAAAATTGCTCTTGGTAATGCTTGATAATAGTTAGGTATTGTCTCTTCCCATGGTCCACCTTATCTGCACATACTGTTCCTTGTTGTACATGTACAAGTAACAAACTTACTACTCTTTAGCTTTCTTTTCAGGATTTGTTAATATCATTATTCCTTGATGCTTAGTTTCAAGGATACTGTTCCCTGTTGTACATGTACAAGTAACAAACTTACTACTCTTATCGCTTGAGGCACTTCAGGGGCTCCATAAGTTTCCTAGGTGGCTATAGGAGAACGGGAGAATGCCTTTTGCGCTTGCAACCAAGATCCCAATGTATGCTAAATCATAGGCACCATCTCATTGCAAACATTTGCCAGATAATATACTTAAATCTTGAAACCTTTATCTTGATTTATTCTTTAAATTAAAATGAATCAATGGAGTAGTCATTTAATGTTTTGCATCCTTGAGTAGTCAAATTGAAAGTCAATTGATCCATACACACCACTGGGAGATATTTCTCTTTTAAGGTTCTCTTTCATCTCATTCCTACTCTATACATAGTCATGACATATTTTTTTTCCATTGCTACTCTTCCAATAAACTCTGGTTTGACTAGTTAGCTTTATTTTGGTAAATCCAATCCACTAGATTATCTACTTTACTCAAAATATTATATCAAGTAAATGCTTTAAGTGCAAGATCAATTAACAAGAATTACCAAAGTACAAAAAAAAATACAAAATAGTAAATATATAAAGGATGATGTGAAGGGATGAAATATCTCATGGTACTGAGAAAAAAAGAAAGGAGAAGAAGAGCTCGTGAATTATCTTGCTTAAGGACTTGATGAATCCTTGAGAATGATGATATATTTTATTTTTATTTTGATTACTTCCTTGTATGGTAAATTATATATGGAATATTTTTTAGTAGAAAAACCATCACTCAGTACTCCTGTCAAAATAATCTTGTTATTGATCATCATGATTTTTTGTCTTCGGGCCCGGTTGGGGCAGCTTATAAGTTTGAAAACGTCGTCTCACCATTTGGAAAACACGTTTCGATAACTTCTCCAAAAATGCGGTTGGGTTTTTACACTAAACGCAGATTGCGGGTCGAACCCTGCGGGTCACCTGCGGGTCGCGTTTCAGGATAAGCACAAGCTGCCCCAAACTCACCCTTCATTATTTTTTTAGAATTAAATGAAAATATGACACTAAATAGGACGCAATGGAGAAAAGGATTCATTTAGCCGACCCCACTTAGTGGGATTAAGGCTTTGTTGTTGTTTGTTGTATTGATGAGATGGATAGGGGAATAGCTACAACAGGAGAGTAAAAAAGTTATTCTTGTCTTAATAGAAGATCTTTGTTGACAAATTTTATTTAATTTATTTTTTCCTTTGTTGACAAGTAGTAATGAAAAGTTAGGGATTCATTCGCCTGTCATAAGAGTGTTTAATTTTTCTCCCGCTCAATTTGTTGTTCATTATCTATACGTTTACTTGAAACACTTTTATGATCACCATAATCTTATGGTCTTTATAAAGAAAAAAAATGCTTTTATTCTAGAGGTCCAGGTTTTCTCTCAGACAATGTTGATCAACTATACAAAGTCTAAAGCTTTCAGTAAGAAATCACCTTCGGTTGACTTAAGGAAATCCCTAGAAGCTTGCTTGAATATAATCACAATCATATAACAAGGAATGGGACCATAACCAAGATCAGGTATTGGTGGTGTCTTATGATATTCATTTACCGTTCCAGTGTCATTGCCCATGATGCTGCCTTGTAGTCGATTTGACCTGAGCTTATCTACCGGTTCTCTCATGTCCCATCCCAGGTCTCATGAGACCAGCCAGCTAAGCATGGGGTGGGATTGACCATCCCTTTCCTCGTTTCCTTGCCCTTTCTGATTGCCGCCTGCTCCTTCCCTTTGCCTTTTTTGATTGCCACCCGAAAAGGAGGGCCTCCCCTTCCTAACCCTTCCTATTTTACATCCTAGCAATTATATTCATCTTATTTTGCTTGTTAGGGTTAGTTTTTGGCTGCTTGTTGATTTCAGAGTTTTCCCTTGAGTCTCCTCTCTCGCTGGAGCTGTATCGAACGGGGGGTGGTGCTTCAGCTCTATCCTGCTCCGAGGTGGTGTTGTATTCTCCCCCTATTTTTCCTTCCTACCCCTTCTTCTTCACCTACCCTAGCCGCCGACCTCTCCATATTCTTCCAGTTGCCCTGCCACCCTTCCTTTTCTGTCACAATATTGTTGTCCAGCTCTTCTGGCCAACACCCAGCACGCTGTCCTATCCCTCCTTGCAGCAGCCCTTGCTCTCCACCCCTCCCGACCACATAACCGCACCTTGCCATCTCTTCCCCTGCAGCAGTCATTGCTGTCTGGTCTTCCAAATCATCAACCGGCACCATCCCGACCTTTTCCTACACTCCCACTTGTCGTCCACCCTCTCCCAAGCCCCACCAACAATCACTTATCCCGCCCCCCTCATCCCCAATCACCAACCTCCAGCATCCTCACCTTCCCCGCCTACTCTACCTAAACTCGGCCACTACTACTGTGCAACCGCCTCGCCAACGCCACCACTATTCTTGGGTCTTCTTATCCAGCCATAGCTATTGGAAGCCCATCCTCACCTTCCCCGCCTACTCTACCTAAACTCTGCCACTACTACTGTGAAACCGCCTCGCCAACGCCACCACTATCCTTGGGTCTTCTTATCCAGCCATAGCTATTGGAAGCTATTCAGTTTGTGTCATGTGTAACCATAACTCAGTGATAATAAAAGTTTGCTTTCGTTTCTGTTGATTTTTGAACTAGTTCTAGCAATTTTGTATCAGTGCTTAGCTTAACCCTAGTTCTATCATTGGGTTTCCTAACATATGCCATAAGCCAAATATTTTATTTCCTACCACAAAATACCCTTTCCACTTCCATAAATACCAACCCTAACCATGCTACCAACAAGATATATGCCCGAGCCCACTGTGGATGGGATACGGCGAGAGTTTCGTTGTCTTCAACAAAGACTTGCGTAGATTGATAAGATGACCGAGGGATCTGGAGTGTCGAAGGGGAGAAAGCAATACATGGCATTTTGTTACTATCACTTTACTTTTTAATACTAAAGATTTATAGACCCTTTTTATTATCTTAAAATTCTTTTCATGCAGGGAATGGTTTCTATAGAAAATGTCACAATTCTACAAGTGTCAACCTTTGAAGAATTGATGGCTGTTATTGAAATGGGAGCTGAGCGTCGACATGTAGCTGGAACCCAAATGAATGATGATAGTTCAAGATCACATTTAATATTGTCCATCATAATTGAAAGCACCAATCATCAAACTCAAGCTGTCGCAAGAGGAAAGGTAAAAATGCACTTAATAAAATAAAGCAAACATTTCATTCTTGACTATGTTCTCTTAAACATTTTGAATGATACAACCCTTTTATGAAGTCCTTCAATCATATTATGCTGTGATAACTTGAACTTACAATAAATGATTCATTTGAACTTCTTCTCTTTCTCTTCCCTCACCTGTCCTTTTTCATACCATTACAAAGTGGATCTTCTTGAAGGTCGTATCATATTTTCTGTAAGTTAATACTTTGACATGATGGACATGTATTTGAAAATTTTAAATGTTATTTTTTACTAATTTCTTGAGTAAGCTTTGACCAAAAAAAAAGAAAAAAAAACTCCATTTTCTGGAAATTTAGATGACCATTTTGTACATTGCTTATGATGAAATTTAAAAACTAAAATATGGCACAGTACCATTTTACTTTAAATTAATAAATCACACTGTCATGTTGATTTGTTAAACACAATTTTTCCTCGTAAGCTCGTCTATGAGCTTTACCATGCTCTCTGACTATCTTTTTTTTTTTTTTTGAAGCTCGTCTATGAGGCTTACCATGCTCTCTGACAACATCTATCTTTTTTTTTTTTTGTTGAAATATTGCAGCTTAGTTTTGTAGATCTTGCTGGTTCGGAAAGGATAAAGAAATCTGGTTCTTCGGGAAATCAATTGAAAGAAGCTCAAAGCATTAATAAATCACTTTCAGCCCTTGGGGACGTGATAAGTGCTTTGTGTTCCGAGGATCAACACATACCTTATAGGAACCACAAATTGACAATGCTCATGAGTGATTCGCTTGGTGGCAATGCAAAGACACTTATGTTTGTCAATGCGTCTCCAGCTGAGACAAATTTGGATGAAACTTACAACTCTCTTGTGTAAGTTCTCTTTTAATTACTTAAATTTTTTTTCATATTTTTGGTTGCTAATTTGGCTTTATCTTGAGGATTTTTTTTAATTTTTACATTGAGGTTTTTGTTTATATTGCTGGAAATTGTAATACCTTTTTCTTGCAATGACGGAGAAATTCAGCCCACTTTCTCAGTCTCAGTTTTTGTTTATAATGTATTAAATCTTGTTGTTTATCATCATCATTATTACCTTTTTCTTAGCTATTTGAGGTCAATGTTCTAATCTTTATTTTCCATTTTTTTTTCTGAGGTTCTGAATTAGCTCTTCATAAATCGTTTTGCACAATTCTTAGGTGTATCATTTTTCCTTTTTAATCCTCCAACATTAGTTTTATCAACTTGTTTAACATGCATAATTTTTATCCTTAGTTGCACAAATCTAGAACTCTTATCTTCTGTTTGTTTTTAATACCGTAAAACCATTTTTTAATTTATTATTCCTTGTTCAGGCACATTAATCATAATATTCTCGTTTCTATCATATTCAAGTTAGATAAGAATTGACTTTTGTAGCCCAACATTTGAGAAAATATTTCCATACGAAATACGCAGACAGTCTTAGGTGCGTAATAACCCCTCAATAACCTCCGCTTCGGGGTTATTGGGTATTAATTCCAATAGCATATAACCGCAATAACCTCCCAATACTTTTCGTTTGTTTTATTTTGGTGTTATTCATAGGCTATTAGGGGGTATTGCAGAGTTACTGGAATACGCACGCAGAGCTGCGTGCGTATTCCGTATGGAAAAATTTGAAACCATATACAGCAATGCCAGCCCAATAAAATCTTCCTTTAAGCCCCAAAAGTTAATGCTTAAAAAGTCTATATGGTAATCTGGGATGATTGATTATTTGAAACCATATACAGCTATGCCAGCCCAATAAAATCTTCCTTTAAGCCCCCAAAAGTTAATTCTTAAAAAGTCTATATGGTAATCTGGGATGATTGATAATTTGAAAGATTATGATTCACAAAGATGCCTTAAAACTCGTTGGGTGAATTCTAAAGCGAAATTAACATTCAGGCAAGTGTTCCAGCACATATACTCTAATTTTCAGAAGATGGGAATATCCATTTTTTTTATTTTTTATTGTTTAGTTCTGCTAAATCATGTCTGTAATAGCTTCCAATGTTTTTACTTAATGTTGCAGATATGCATCCAGAGTAAGATGTATTATAAATGATCCAAGTAAAAATGTAACCTCAAAAGAGATTGCTCGTTTGAAGAAAATGATTGCCTACTGGAAGGAGCAAGCCGGTAAACGCGGCGAGGATGAAGAAATGGAAGAAATTCAGGAGGAAAGACCGAAAGAGAGAAAAGACACGCCAGTAGAGAAATCTGTAACAGAGAGAAGAGAGACACATTCACAAGAGAAAAAAGAGTTACAGGAAGACAGGCATCCTAGGAACAGAAGGGAGTTGCAAGAAGAAAGACAGCCGAAAGAACGAAAAGATCGTCGCAGCTCAAATCAATCCGTTTGAGCATCTTATTTTATCTGAAAAAGTTGTGACTTTTGTCTCTGGTCCATTTTTTTATTTTTGATGGCTATATTCCAATCAATAGCCATTCCATACTATCTGTATAGTTTGGGTTGATAATGCTGATCTACAATTGCTCTTGTATACAGAAACACCACAGAAAGCACGGTCTTATATATAGAAAAAATGCCTGCTTCTATGATACCTATTTATGATGTTTGATCATTTTGTAACAGGTTATATAAATTACTGGATGACATTTTCTTATAATTCAATTTGAATTGCTGATAATATGAGATGAAGGCATTGGGTGGGGCATGATGAGAAGCTGTGGAGCTAAAGACATCTGATTTTGATTTAAAGTCAAACTCTAGTGTTTTTCCAAACAAATCAATTTCTAATTGAAGTGATAGAGTTCCAGGCGTTCGTAAAGAGAATTAATTATGAGATTATATACTAAGGAAATATTTTCTGGATGTCAGTTTTGAAGAGGCAAATAATCAAGTTAATAAGATACACAAATGTGAACCATTATATGATGAGCCCATATGGAAGATAAAAGGGACCTCATGCTAATGTGCTTATGTCACTTAAACAGGCAAGGCGGCCATATAAATGATATGTTCTAAAACTAAGAAAGAACATTGCCTTCTGTATATATAAAAATATATCAACATGCATCTCAAGGTAGATGAATAGCTCAAGAAGAAGATGTGGTCGATTGAACATGGCTTTTGACGATTATTTTTTGGCTGAATATTGGCTAAGAAACGTCTTGTTCGAATGATCGGCAGGTGTCAGGAGACGCTCTCACAAGACCGTAATTAGCCTTTAGGACGATTGATGGGGAGCCCTCTTTCAGATTAGATATTGATCGAGTAAAGATTTATCGGATGATCGACAACCCTCATCGATCGAATCGGTCATCGGTCTTATTATACGTGAATAATTATGTAAATACTAGAAGGTAACCTTGAAAAGTTAATCATGAGGGGGCTACAATGAATTTTTGCAACGTTGTGACGTATGTCTATAAATAGGGACCCATGTCATGAATAAATGACACCCTTTTTATTGTTCTCTCTCTCTCTCTCTCTCTCTCTCTCTCCTCTCTCCCCCCCTAATCACTTCCTAGCAGAACGTTCTACTTCGTAGGTGAGTTTCCCAATCACTTTCTAGCAGAACGTTCTACTTCGTAGGTGAGTTTCCCAGACACTTTTGAATTCAATATTCTTTAAGGTGCAGTGAACGTGAAAACATGTCTTCAACAAGTAAAAGAGCCTAACAACAACAACAGAGAGATTCCAGTCAGAGGAATATAAGAGAAGCAGCATGCACCTGAGAGTTTATGGAATAATTCGTTCAACAAGGCCTGCAATATTTGTGAACTCAGATCACTAACTAAATGCCAGGATAGTTCATAGAGGTACTTTAAGCGGTCGCCGCCCTAGCAGTGGCCCAGTTTTAGGAGAAGAGCCAACACGACAAGGAACACACAACCCTCCTCAATGGGAACCACCAACCAACAATAGTTGCAGGAAATGCCCGACGACGGTCTATACCAAGACAACTTCGGATCTGCCCCCTTGGAGGAGATAAACTGACCGAGGTACAAAGGCACCTGGAAAACACTTTCTCCCTGAATGTCTCCAGAGTTGAACCTCCGGAGAAGTTCAAGATGACGGTCTTAGAGGCATATAAAGGATGGCTAAATCCCAACGACCACCTTGCGTCATTCAAATCGTCCATATGTCTGCTAAAATTTTCTGATGCCCTCAAGGGTAAGCTCTTCTTCACGATGTTGAGATCAGCCACGTTAAGGTGGTTCGACGGATTGCCCATGGAAGTAATCACATGTTTTGTGGAGTTCAGAAGACTCATTCTGTCACAGTTTAACAGTTCCCTGAGGCCTAAGAAAAGTGCCTGATCCCTGTGGCAACTAAAGAAGGGTGCCAATGAGAGATTGTAGTCGTTTATTGCATGCTTCCACAGCAAAACATTAAACATCAAGGACTTGAAGCTCGACATGGCCTAGACCACGCTGACACGAGGTGTGAGCTCGGAGAGGTTTCATTTCTACCTCTAACTTGTAGAGCCACGAAGCTTGACCGAGCTGTTAGAAATGACTAATATTTATATCATCGCCTATGAGAACGCCCCTGAGCCCGCTGAATAGTGACACAAAAGAGACCAACACAAGACAACAGAGGACAATCCATAAAAAGTGCAAGCCTTTCTAACCACCCTAGCTATGAGGGTCAATCCGACAATCACTCCACCTAATGTCATGCAGATCAGAGGCGATAGACCAAGGCCTAGAACCACTGATCGTCACATCATCATGAACACCCCCGGTATAATCCTGGAGTCCTCCACAAAACACCGCTTAGGGTGTCCATGGCAAAAATAGTGGATGCCATCCATGTTAAGGTGCTCTTCAGGAAAGCAATGCTGGTGAGGACTGGTGCTTTTCTTCGAGATAACAAAAAATATTGTAAGTACTACAGAGATCACAGACACGATACAGTAGAATGTGTACACCTGTGAAGCATGATAGAGGAGCTAATAAAGGAGGGGAAGTTGAAAGAATTTGCAACCCCTGGAGCTGTGACCCAAAGGCAGGGTAAGGCTCCCGTGGGAAGAATGACCGACGAGCTCATCCACACCAACGTCATTCACATTGTGGGGTATGTGCATGCAATCTTTGGAGAATGCCAGTCACCCGGGAGGACAAGCCGGAAGGGAAAGCAAATGGGGGAAATATGCGCCGCAAATGGGGGAAATATGCGCCGCAAACTTTGCCTTGAAACCCATCCACCCATTTATTTTACCGGGAGGATCTTCCCCAAAATGGAAATCCATATAATGACGCCTTTGTGATAATGATGATAATCAACAATTATCAAGTAGGGAGCATTCTCAATGATACAGGTAATTCTGTGAATGTACTAATCAAACAGGTATTCACAAACTGAGCCTCACTGCTGTCGAATGACCGTGTCAGCTGGTCAACTGTATAAATTCTCAAGTGAAAGGAAGGAAGCGCTGGGAGTGGTCGTACATCTGGTAAGTTGGGTAGAAAACGAGAAATAATTTATGCTCACGGAAGTTTTCCTCGTGGTAGATTCACCTTGAACGTAAATGCTATATTTGACTGACCGCTGCTGAGCAATTTTAAAGCGATGATTTCTACTTACAATTTTGCTATCAAGTTTCTTGGAGATAGATAAATTATTTTGGTCAGGGTGACATGGAGTAGTCCCGAGGCTGATACTTGCAAGCTATAAGCAATGTAGAGCATGATCCTCTGGACATCCAAAACGCATGGAGGGTGGCCTCAAGACCAACGAGACCACCCATAAGGTTCCGACAGTTGAATGAGAACCAAGCAGGTGTTTTTTTATAAGAGAAGCTCTTGATGTAAGTCACATTGAGTTGTTGATCCAAACCCTCAGAGAAAATGAAAATGTTTTCGCATGGGCGGCTGCTGAGATGTCAAGCACATAGATCAATGTCGCATGCCACAAATTGAGCGTTGATCCATCTACTTGAACCATGAAGCAGAAGATCAGAAGCTCAACCACGATGTTAGCGGGACCCATCTGAGAGGAAGTATGAAAGCTGAAGGAGGCAGAGCACATTCAGGAAGTGTACCCCACCTAGGCCTCTAATGTGGTGATGGTGGAGAAGGCCAATGAAAAATGGAAGATTCACATGGACTTCATCAACCTGAACTTTGCTTGTTCAAAGGAATCTTACCCTCTACCGTGGATCGATGCCCTAGTGGATTCAGCGGTCGTCCACTCAGTCCTAAGTTTCCTCAACACATTCTTCAGATATCATTAGATAAAGATGTACTCAACTGATGTAGAAAAAACAATTTTTATTACTTGTGAGAAAGTTTTTTGTTATAATGTATCGCTCTTTGGGTTTAAAAATGTTGGAGAAACTTACCAATGTCTCATGGATGCAATTTTTGCTAATAAAAAAGGAATGAGCATTGAGGAGTATGTCAATGATGTATTGGTTTAGAGTCAGTCGGCTGAACAACACATTGAGGATCTAAAAGAAACTTTTCTAACACTTAAAAAGTTTAACATGAGACTAAACCCACTCAAGTGCACCTTCGGGGTCACGACAGACAAATTCTTGGGGTATTTGCTAACCTCTTAAGGCATAAAAGCCAACATGCAAAAGATCAAAGCACTCATTGATATGCTCTCCCCTAAAAATACTAAGGAAATCTAGAAGCTAACAGGTTGGATCGCAGTTTTGAGCAGGTTCATCTCCATGTCGGGTGATAAGTGCACCCTATTCTTTAAAGTACTCTTAAGAGCCAAATGCTTCGAATGGACACCTGAATGTGAAGAGGCCTTCGAGAACCTCAAGTAGTTGCCCGCCACTCCTCCCCTCCTTTAGAGCTCGAAACCGAAGGAAAAGCTTTATTATTTATATATATATATGTGTGTGTGTGTGTGTGTGTGTGTGTGTGTGTGTGTGTGTGTGTGTGTGTGTGTGTGTGTGTGTGTGTGTGTGTGTGTGTGTGTGTGTGTGTGTGTGTGTGTGTGTGTG